GTAGTCAGCCCGTTCTTGTATCATCAGACCCAGAGTATCAAGTGAGGAATCAAGCGATCTCAACAGTTTCTTCACCACCTCATGGTCAGTGATGTCAGTGGCACCGAGGGCTTGAAGCTCATTTGAGATGTCAGTGAGGCGATCGAAGGTTTGTTGGACATTTTCATTGTCGAATCTTTTGAAGCGGTTGAAGAGATTCCGGAGAACATCAACTCGAGAGTCACGCTGAGTTGAGACTCCTTTATTCACTTTGGACAGCCTATCCCAGATAAGCTTAGCAGTTTCCAAAGCACTCACTCTTCCATACTGTCCTTTACTCAGATGGCCACATATGATATTCTTCGCTTGAGAATCGAGTTTCTTGAATCTCTTCACATCGGTAGCGTTCAGTGAGGGTGAAACAGAGGGAACACCATTTTCCACAACATACCAGAGATCATTGTCAATTGCCTCGAGATGCATTCACATCTTGTTTTTCCAGTAGGGGTAGTCCGTTCCATCAAAGGTAGGACACCCAGCCGAGACCTTTATCATACCTGCGGTCGACATAACTAAAACTCCAGGCAGTTAAACCAAAATCACACAGAACAAGGGAGTACCTTGCTCTGATACCAATTGAAAGTGCGTTATGTCGACTAGAGGGGGGTGAATAGGCGATTTTTATGAATTCTTCACTGAGGAATTTGCCGGTGAGGAAATTCCTTAGCGAAGAACTATTAGCAGCGGAATAAGTACTCAGAAGTAAGCATAACAGAATACACGCATGGTCATCATGATGAAATGAAGACAAGCACAGAGTACAGAAAGCGTAATCACAGGATAACACAAGATGAAGACAAATAGACTGAAGAAATTGAACTGAGGAAATTGAGAAAGTCTTCAGTCAAAGTCTTCAAACACAGATATGAACAAACACTCAACACAGTAATGAGGAAATGAAAGGGTTGAGGAAATAGAACTAGTTAGGTTGGTGAAGACAATGATTTGTTAGACCAGTTCCAACTGTTGTCTCAGTTGTACGTCTGGTTGGAGCGGCTGAGTATTTAAACTCGAGGACACACAGTCCCGGACACCCAGTCGCTGAGCACGCAGCTCAGGACACCCAGTCCTCACCGTATTCTCCTTGAACTAAGATCACACAGATCCCGTCCAATCACTCGTGGTAAGTCTTCTGGCGACTTCCAAACCTTCACAGACTTGGTCACTCGGCGATCCACAATTCCTCTTGGATGCTCTAGACCTTGACGCCTAACCGTCTGGAAGAAGCACAGTCTTCAAAGGTAACAAGCGTCGGATCCACGCAGGATCAATTTCTTCAGTGATGCTCAATCACTTTGGGGTTTGTAGGTGTTTGGGTTTGGGATTTTCCTCACTTGATGATTTTCGCTCAAAGTCCTCGGAGGATGGGTTGCTCTCAAATGACAAGTGTCAAGTTCTCTCGGAGCAGCCAACCAGCTAGTGGTTGTAGGGGGCGGCTATTTATAGCCTAGGGAGCAGCCCGACATGATAAGACATAAATGCCCCTCAATGATATGACCGTTAGGTGGATAAGATATTTTGGGACAGCTGGCGCACAGCACAGCAACGGTTGGAAATTTGACTCTCAAATTCCTCAGAGCTATCATGTTCCTCACTGTGTAGGTAATTCGCACTGGCGAATTCCTAACTCCTCACTCAGAACAAATTCATCAGCGACCAGAAGAACTTCGTCTCTGTCGCTGAAGAAGGTGGCTGAACTGTATGAGATTTCCAAAGGCTTCACTCGAAGGGATTGGTAGGTGTAGGATTTTGAGTTGAGCATCACATGGAAATTTTTCCTTAGTATTTCCTCGACCCCCTTTAACAGTACGGTGTTTCCTATGACTCAAGAAGGAGAAAATGAAACTACGAAAACAAAAGTCACGCTTCATGTTCCACAAATGAATACCAAGTCTTCAAGGTCACACCAATTTCTTCACTTTCAAAGTCTTCAGAAAGTCTTCAGAATATCAAAGTCTTCAGTTGAAGAACTTCATTTTTAGGGGTCGACTTTCTCTGTAAATATCAAACTCCTCATAGACTTATAGACCTGTGTACACTCACAAACGCATTAGTCCCCTAACCTATAAGTCTTCAATACACCAAAATCACTAAGGGGCACTAGATGCACTTACAGAATACATAAGCAAATACCGTGTCCCTAGTAAGCCTCTACTAGACTAGCTCGTTGATCAAAGATGGTTAAGGTTTCGTAACCATGGACATGTGTAATCATTTGATAACGGGATCACATCATTAGGAGAATGATGTGATGGACAAGACCCATCCATTAGCTTAGCATAATGATCGTTCAGCTTTATTGCTATTGCTTTCTTCATGTTAAATACATATTCCTTCGACTATGAGATTATGCAACTCCCAGATCTCGGAGGAATACCTTGTGTTCTATCAAACGTTACACTGTAACTGGGTGATCATAAAGATGCTCTACAGGTATCTCCGAAGGTGTTTGGTGAGTTGGCATAGATCAAGATTAGGATTTGTCACTCCGAGTATCGGAGAGGTATCTCTGGGCCCTCTCGGTAATACACATCATAAGCTTGCAAATAAACAACTAAGGAGTTAGTCACGAGGTGATGTATTATAGAACGAGTAAAGAGAATTGCCAATAACGAGATTGAACTAGGTATGAAGATACCGAGGATCGAATCTCGGGCAAGTAACATACCGATGGACAAAGGGAATTACATATGTTATCATAACGGTTCGACTGATAAAGATCTTCGTAGAATATGTAGGAGCCAATATGGGCATCCAGGTTCCACTATTGGGTATTGACTGGAGAGGTGTCTCGGTCATGTCTACATAGTTCTTGAACCCGCAGGGTCCGCACGCTTAACGTTCGATGATGATATAGTATTATATGAGTTATGTGATTTGGTGACTGAATGTTGTTCAGAGTCCCGGATGAGATCATGGACATGACGAGGAGTCTCGAAATGGTCGAGAGGTAAATATTGATATATAGGACGATGGTATTCGGACACCGGAAGTGTTTCGGGGAGTACCGGGCACTTATCAGATCACCGGAAGGGGTTCCGGGCACCCCTGGCAAAAGATATGGGCCTTATGGGCCAAGAGGGGAAACACACCAGCCACAAGGGGTGGTGCGCCCCTCATATGGGCCGACCTAAAGAGGAGAAGGAAAGGGGAGAAGGGAAAGGAAAGGAAAGTGTGGATTAGGATTCCCACTTCCTCCCCCCCACCTCTTTCCTTCCCCCTCCGACAAACATGGCAACAAGGGCGCGGCCAAGGGCAGGAGCCCAAGTAGGATTCAGACCTACTTGGGGAGCCCCTTGGCATCTCCCCTCTCTCTCTCTCCCACCTCTATATATATGAGGAGGGGGTGCCTAGCACACACCAGATCAATTGTTAGCCATGTGCGGCGCCCCCCTCCACCGTTTACATCCCCGGTCATATTTTCATACTGCTTAGGCGAAGCCCTGCGGAGATCACTTCACCATCACCGTCACCACGCCGTCGTGCTGACGAAACTCATCTACGACCTCGACGTCTTGCTGGATCAAGAAGGCGAGGGACATCACCGAACTAAACGTGTGCAGAACCCGGAGGTGCCGTGCGTTCGGTACTTGATCGGTTGGAGCACGAAGAAGTTCGACTTCATCAACCGCGTTGTGAAACGCTTCCGCTTACGATCTACGAGGGTACATAGACACACTCTCCCCCTCGTTGCTATACATCTCCATGGATAGATCATTGCGTGTGCGTAGAATTTTTTTTGTTTTCATGCAACATTTCCCAGCAAGACTAGCTCTTGGATGATTTACAACATCATCCTCACCAAGGTTAGCACAGAAGCTATCATCATGATCCAAATAGAGGCTGAAAAAAGTGGTGCCCAATATCAAGAAACATGAGCATTCTGCCAGCCTATTCATCATCAGTAATTGCCCTGAGACCAGTTGTGCTAAGTGTAAGGATGGGGACACAGCAGAAAACCTTAAGCCTCCTTGCCATCTCATAACATATTTCTTCCACAAGATTTTCAATCATAATAGGTGACCAAGTGACTCTTTCCACTTGATCCCAAATGGCACACCCATCTACATAAGAACGGTTCCTGCCTTAGCCAACAAAAAATCCACCAGGGTTGATCTCCACCAAAAAATTGCTGCTTCGACGACCTGACACAACAATAACAGTACTAGATCAATCACAACCGACGAGAGATTCAATTTGGTTAACTCTCAAAAACCCTAAGCCCCAATTCCCTTAACCCCCAAATCCTGAGTGAAAACCCTAGAACAATCGGTCCAACCTTGCAACTAGAACACATCTTAAATGGAAATGCGGCCCTAAAAGGAGGTCTTTTGACGATCAAAACGCACAAAGGCTCGGGTTCCATTGGGGGCGAATACGTACTGTACACAGGGGGGTGCCCCTTTTGCGCGACGAACAAGGGCCATTCCCGACGCCTCCCGCGAGAAGAACACGCACAACGGCCGCCTACGCAACCACGGAGGAGCTCCGCGCCTCAACTTGCCTGCACCGTTGACGATCACCGAGGGCGGCGTCGCCTATGCAGCCGTTCCCTGTTTCCAATCGAAGACGAAGATGCGACGTGAGTGGAGGAGGGGTGAATGGGTGGATTCCGTGATGGCCAGGGGGCTCAATGTAAAATATCGACGGCGACGCCTTCGTGGTTCGCCACTTGGCCTGGACGACCGGTCAACCACGCTGTACCCATCATGTACCGTATTTTCACGTCACATCATATTCAATGACCGTATCGAGCGTATTCTAAAGCTCAGTGACCGTATCGTGCTTGAGTGTATTTATCTCCACAGAATCCGATGCTCAAAAGCCATCGTTGCCATGGCACCATCCATCGACCCGTTGCACATCTCTGCCATCACAGCTTCCGTTGCCCAGAAATTCAATATTATGCCTAATAAAACTAAAGATAACAAAGAAATCTGGACTCACATAGCCGTTGCGGGATGCCGTCTCCACTCTCCACCAACGGCTCTATTCCCCCCACCGCCCGCTCCACGTTGACCGTTTCAACCATTAAAACCCTCCCTTCCCTCTCGCCCTTCTCCCCACACCCCCAATTCCCCATCTCTCTCCCCCCAAACCGACGCGCACATCCATCCATCCGCTTCGTCCCCGGCCACGGCCCAAACCCTAGAGACCGACAACCGCCGCGCGAGCAGCGAGAGGGGGAGGAGGAAACTGGCGCCATGAACGACCTCATGACCAAGTCCTTCATGAGCTACGTCAACCTGAAGAAGGCGGCCATGAAGGACCTCGAGGCGGGCGGCGACGAGACCGAGCTCACCCAGGACGGCGGCGGCGGCGCCACCGACGAGCGCCTCAAGGGCTTCTTCAAGGAGGCAGAGGCGGTCCGCGAGGAGATGGCGGCCATCCGCGACGCGCTCGCCCGCCTCCATGCCGCCAACGAGGAGGGCAAGTCGCTGCACCAGCCCGACGCGCTGCGCGCCATGCGGGTCCGCGTCAACGCCGACATCGTCGCCGTGCTCGGCCGCGCGCGCGGGATCCAGCGCGCGCTCGCGGACATGGACGCCGCCAACGCCGCGTAGCGCAGGCTCTCCGCGGGCTGCCAGGAGGGCACCACGCTCGACCGCACTCGCACCTCCGTCACCGCGGGCCTCCGGAAGAAGCTCAAGGACATCATGCTCGACTTCCAGGCGCTGCGCCAGCGGATGATGTCCGAGTACAAGGACACCGTCGAGCGCCGCTACTACACGCTCACTGGGGAGGTCCCCGAGGACGAGGTCATCGAGCGCATCATTTCCGAGGGCCGCGGCGAGGAGATCATGAGCGCCGCCGTCGCCGAGCACGGCAAGGGCGCCGTGCTCGCCGCGCTCAACGAGATCCAGGACCGCCACGACGCCGCCGGGGAGGTGGAGCGCAGCCTCCTCGAGCTCCACCAGGTGTTCCTCGACATGGCCGTCGTCGTGCAGTCGCAGGGGGAGAAGATCGACGACATCGAGAACCACGTGATCAACGCCAGGGACTACGTCCACTCCGGCAACAAGGAGCTCGGCAAGGCCCGCGAGCACCAGCGCGGCAGCCGCAAGTGCCTCTGCATCAGCATCATCCTGCTGCTGCTCCTCATCCTCATCATCATCATCCCCATCACCACCAGCCTCAAGAGGTCCTGAGCAACCACACCACACCGGAGTTTGTGACGATGATCATCTGGACACCTGCATTTGTGTCTATGTTGTTTCGATTTCGTATTCTACTGCTTCATTCGTTGATTTCTGCTCCCTCCGAATGTCTCTATGCCGTCAGGATTTAGCTGATGATGAATAGTACACCGTATATCTGTTCAGTTAATTTGCAACCCTGAAAAATCTGCTGATCGATTCTGTGCATGAGATGAGATTTGGTGCGTGGATTTGTTGCTGTTGCAGTAGCCTGCAGATTTATTGTGCTTGCAGCTGGGGCCTGAGCACCCTGTACACAAGATAGGCAATATTTGTGGCTTCCTATCATCACTAGTAGAATGTCCGTGCGTTGTCACGGGCATTTCAGTAATTTTGCTGGTTGTATAAGCATAATGCATGTATAGAAAAGATAGCCAATAAAATACAATCAGAAAATAAATAAAATTAATTTTCTGACGAGACTTCCTCGTGACTAGGACAAACTCTCCCCTCTAAATTTCGCCGGCGAGTCCGTCGATTCGCCTCCCCTGTGTCTACCGCTCCAACGGCCGGTGGCAGGGAGGGGAATCCCAGTGCCTCCGCTCCGGTTAGTAGTTTAGGTTAGGGATTTCTATTCCTTGAAGGCGTGGTGCTCAGGCGGATGGCGCGCTACTTCCTTGAGTTTGTCTTTCGGACTCTAATCCACCTCGAGTTCGTTCGTCTAGACGTAGTCAATGGAGTTTCGGCATAGATTCTTGTTGTCTCTTTTGCGGCGGTGAGGTTAGGGTTTCTCGTCATGTGGCAAGATGTGCAGGTGCTTCAAATCGATGCAATGGTTCAACGGTGACGACTGCGATTCCAGAGTGTTGGTCCTTAGGGACACGTGTACGAAGACTTCCCTCCTATCATCGGAAAAGGTCAAGCCGGCTCCGATAGGGGAGCGACGACCGTGGTGCGTCGGCAACTTGTTTTGGCGGGGGTAGTGGTTGTTTTTGGGGTGTTGGAATCTCAATGTAATTTTTAGTATGTTTGAGATGATTTGTACTTTCGGTGAACTTTGATAATAGATCTAGATCATTTCCACACAAAAAGAAAGAAAATGAATAAAAAATGCAATATGACATTGTATACATTTAGAGTAATGACTCAACTAATTAACTATTACAAACTAAAATCTCATTGATGTGTTTAAGATATTCTCATACAATGTCAGGAATGCTATCTTTAGCATCATTTGCATGATTCTTAAGCAATCTCTACTAATTAAAAAGCACATAAGGCTATACAATTATGATAACTTACACAAAACTGCAGATCCATGAAGTGTACAGGAGGGTCTAGAACCAAAAAGACCTCATTGCATGCAAGCATACATATGGCCATGTTGAAACAAATCCATAGAACATGTTAAGTATGCCTTCATTTTTTGAGACTTAAGCCCATTGGATGTGGCATAGAGATTCACACCCATTCCTTTCTGAAAAATAATTAGTAAGAATCACAAAAATGTATATTGATGCATAATATACTTATAAATGTTGCTTACTCTAAACAATTGACATAATCGATCAACAAGATGTATTTGCAATGGCAGTCAACTAATTCATGTGGACTCTCCAGGAGCACGACATCAGAATTAGATAAATCAGGCGTCCTTTTATCTTATTCATGTCTAACTCTCCGTCGAAAGTGTTTCATATCTTCTGGCAAAATATTAGTAAAAAACAAATCTAAGAGAAAGCTTAAGATGAAATAACGAGAACATGTATGAAAATGAAATACTCGGGTGACATGATCAAACACACATCTCGTGTCCAATATTTCATAAAATTTACCTTGAATAATACTGCACATGATGTGCTGCAAATATTACAAAAATTTCTTTAGAATATCATTCAGAGAAATCAAAAATTTGCTTTAGTATATCATACACACGATGAACAAGTCTACCTGTATGAGTCTGCTAATAAAGATTTTGTTATCAATATTGCTTTTCTCAAGACATGTAACATAATACGTTTGCTTTGATGAATATAAAACTTAATTTTTGATCTTGACAAGTGTTTACGCATCAGTTTATATTTGACTCCTGAATCTGTTTTACGACCGCCTAGTCTGTAACATTTAGATCACTTGTTGGTGATTATTTTCAGAAAATTATTTGTTGGGGTATGTGATATTTTCATTAAATAAAAAAAGTTCCAAAAGTATGTGCCATCTCTCATAGCAAACAATCGCTCCAAAAGGCGCCTCGCGCGAGACTGAAGAAAGCGCAAAGGGAGCTGGAGCGACTGATGAACGTTCCCTTTACTACTGAGGTTAGTGTGAAACAGAAAGAGATGTCGGTGCTGATTGGGAATCTTTTGCAGCAAGATGAGATATACTGGTCACAGCGTGGGAGGGTAAATTGGCTCCGACATGGTGATCGAAACACAAAATACTTCAGCCATTTTGCGTCAGCTAGGAGGAAAAATCTCATTAAAAAACTGCGTGTAAATGAGAGTGGGTGGATTGAGGGGAATGATAACCTCAAACCCCTAATCTCTGACTATTTCAAAAATTTGTTTTAGTTTGATGTAGGAGAAGTGGACACAAATCTCCTAGCATCGGTCAAGTCCTTGGTGACTAACGATATGAATACATTACTTGTTGCTCCTTATACTAAGGAAGACGTGCGCAAGGCTTTATTTCAGATTGGTGACATGAAGGCCCCTAGACCGGATGGCCTACATGCAATATTCTTCAAAAGGTTTTGGCACATTCTTGGGGATGAACTAACTAAGGAAGTTCTGGATGCTATTGAGAAGAAGAAGATTCTAGATGGATGGAACTCAACAAACATTGTTTTGATCCCTAAGGTAGAGAACCCGGAGGTAATTACTCAATATAGGCCGATCAGCCTATGCAATGTGGTATACAAGATTATTTCCAAGATGATTGCTAATAGGCTTAAAAGAATTCTCCCTGATGTCATATCCCCAACACAAAGTGCTTTTGTGCCAGGCAGATTAATAACTGATAACGTGTTGGTGGCCTACGAGTGCTTTCATGCCATTAAAAAGAAAACTCATGCCACTAATGGCTTTTGCGCGGTCAAGTTGGATATGATGAAAGCTTATGACAGAGTTGAATGGGGGTTCTTGAGAGAAGTAATGGTAAAGATGGGTTTTCACTTGCAGTGAATAGAGCTTATTATGGAATGTGTATCTTCAGTAAGTTACAGAGTCAGATTTAATAACACTGAGACAGATGAGTTCTTCCCCACTCGAGGTTTGAGACAGGGAGATCCCTTATCCCCCTACATGTTCTTACTTTGTTCTGAAGGCCTGTCTAGTATGCTCGCTTTTGAGGAGGAAGTGGGAGGTATAGAAGGAATAAAAGTTTGCAGGAATGCCCCATCAATATCCCACTTATTATTTGCTGATGACTCGCTTATTCTTATGAGAGCTAATAACCAGAATGCGGTGACTCTTAAAAAGGGTGTTGGATACATATTGCGGCAGCTCTGGACAATTGGTGAGTGCTCCCAAGTCCAGTATTTTTTTCAGTCCAAATACCAGCGTTCTAGTGAGAGAAGAAATTTGTAGAGAGTTAAATATTTTGACTGAGGCTCTATCAGACAAATATTTAGGCCTCCCAACCATGGTTGGGGTGGATCATAGTGATTGCTTCCAACACCTCATTGATAGAGTTTGTCGTCGATTGAAAGGGTGGAAAGAAAAAGTGCTCTCCATGCAAGGTAAGGAAATTTTGTTGAAATCAGTAGCTCAAGCAATACCTCCATACGCCATGTCAGTGTTCAAATTACCAAAAGGTATTTGCAAGTCAATAATAGATGAAATGTCAAGTTTTTAGTGGGGTGATGATGAAGAGAAGAAGGAAAAATGCATTGGTACGCATGGTGGAAAATGTGCATCCCAAATAAGAAGGGCGGTATGGGATTCAGAGACTTACACAACTTTAACCTTGCTATGTTAGCAAAGCAGTGTTGGTGACTAATCCAAAATCCGGACTCTTTGTGTGCACGTGTTCTGAGTGCAAAGTATTACCCAGATGGTAACATTCTTAATGCCGGCCCTAAGAAGGGTTCTTCATACACTTGGCAGAGCATTGTGGCGGGAATCCAAACTTTTAAAAGGGGTTTCATTTGGAGAGTAGGTACAGGCTCAAAGGTCAATATCTGGTATGACCCTTGGATCCCTTCAAGTGCCTCACAGAAAGTTATAACGCCAAGAGGGCAGATTATGTTATCCAAAGTAGAAGAGCTAATCGACCCGCATTCGGGTCAGTGGAATGAAGATCTGCTGCGATCTGTTTTTAGTCCGACAGATGTTGAACGGATACTAAGAATTCCTCTTAATGTAGGGAACGTTGAGGATTTCGTGGCATGGCATTACACAAGGTCTGGGACGTTTTCAGTCAGTTCA